GCAAGACAGACAGACAGACAGACAGACAGACAGACAGACAGGCAAACAGAGACAGACACAGATACACACAGACACCCATATAGACAGAAACAGAGACAGAGACAAGACAGACTCAAAAAGAAAAAGACAAACAGAGACAGAAATAACCATTATACATGTATTATGCGTCATCATTCCCCTAACAGACACGCTGTATTCCCGTAGACATGTCTGTCTCTGTCTGGAGGGCCTTGTTTCGAGCCCCTGAGGAGGAGGAGGTGTGTGTGGGCGTCTACCTGTCAGATCTCTTTACAATGTTTGCACTCTTCATTTTTGCCCCTCCCAAAAGTGGAGAGCCAAGATAATGAATACAAGTGGAAGGGAACAACGTCGTATAGATTTCTTTTTTTTTTTTCAAACAATATTTATTTTGTTTGGAGGTCAGATATTTGTATTGAGTAGGAGGACAAGAGAGTAATCTAAGTGGCAAAAACGAAAGAATAAATGCAAGGATTGACTTTTATTTCATTCTATTAACCCCCTCCTTTTTCCCCAAAAGAGAAATAAAAATAAAATAAAATAGGAAAAAAAATCAGAACCCCCGCTCTCCACATCTTCCAGACCTTGTGGCGTTATTCTTTGAAATGGGTTAGTGATAGGCCAGCGTTCTGTGCTTACACACACACACACACACACACACACACACACACACACACACACACACACACACACACACACACACATACACACACACACACCTCATTTGACACAAGCTGTCAACACAGAAAGTCTAATATTCTAAACCCACCTGAGCTGGCGTTGTCGTTGAGGTGAGATTTCTGGCGGCACGCAAACGCACACGCACACGCGCACAAACTAATTTCTGCCCACATAAAACGTGCAGTCTGAATTTATAGCTTCAGTTCGGACACACAACAGAATAACTCGGGCATTTCGCCATAAGAAAAGCCCAGTATAATACTCTTAGATGAAATTATGACTCACAAGTGTATATACTTTTGTGTACCGCTACAACACACAACACAAGTAGATTTTAGATCCCCAGAAAGTGGAATGCGCAGTAGCCAAAGCGCAACACACACACATACACACATACACACACACACATAGGGCCGACACGCGCAAGCGAGCAGACAGGCTGCAGACAGATGAAGCGGCGAAGCTGTATTCGACGACATTACTTTTTATTGAGTACGTACCGTACTCGATGCAAGCGTTTCTCAAGGCGCTTTCGTTTCTTGCCTAGCCTACCGAGTACCTCTTGTTTCATACCGCGCTTTTCAGTTTCTTGTTTTGGATCAAAATTGGCTGCTTTAAAGGACAAGCGGGCTAACCCAAATTTCGGGGGGTTTGCAGAAATCTTGACCCACACCAAGAGTGGGTATTTCCCTACCTATAGGAGAAGTTTGGTTTCCTTGGTATCAGGCACGGTTCGTTCATAGAGCACGGTCGCGCAGTGCCGCCCAAAAATGTTTAATGTTCTATTACGAAAAGCACCCACAAACATGAAATAAAAGAAGTCAGACACAAACACTAGCCAAATATAATATCAAAACAAGGTCCTCGCTGGCGCTATAACTGTCATTTATGTGTCAAAAGCGCCTTAAAACATCTACTATACCATGCCAAAGGCCACGCGCTTTAACTGAACGTAATAGAATACTCAACAGTGGCAATCTGACCTATAAATCGCTCTTTGGGATAACTCAAGCGATGGCGACACTCGTAGCGAGTTTGGCGGTACATTAATATTAACAAGACGGCACTTCTCAAATGTGCACCCACGAAGTTTAGCCCACAGTAGGAAATCTAAAAATAAACGCGATAGCCTGTACACTATTCCACACTATTCAATGCCAAAATTATGTGACCCTCAGAGCAATCCAGCGGAGAGCTCAAGTATATTGTGATTGGTTCATTGTCCTTGACCTTGACCTTGATCATCAATGATTTATTTATAGAGGCACCAGCCATTCCTGTCCAGGTACTGCTTTAGCCTCTTTTTCCTGTCTGCGGATTAATAATATTTTTTTGCCAATTCATTGTTTCACTTCTATGTACCCCATATCTATGGTTCTCAACCTGGAAATCGCCTATAATTCGCTGTAATTGCCC